GAAAACCGTGATTCCTCGAGCAGCTGGGTCGCGCGGACACGTGCAGTCAGTACAGTAGCAGAACACCAGGTGTGATTCCCCTTGTTCTGCTTAGCTAACACATGAGAAATATGGTATTTCCTGGTTCAAGTCAATTTTTAATTAAATTGTTTATCAACTGGTTTTTGTATTATTTAAAAACACGTAAACACAGAAAATGTCAGTGAAATATTCAATACCACCAAAAAAGAGAAAAATGAAATTGTCCGAAGTAATATACAAATATAAAATTTGAAAAATCACGAATGATTTCTTATTGCTATCATAACTTTTACTTGAAAGTCCAATATCAAAATTAGTTTTCTTAGTTTATTGTGTGATGCATTCTGAAAAACTTATATTACCTATATATAAATACCCTCACCCTTGCGGTTGTCAGCGGTAAACGTGAGGGCTAATTTGGGAGGTTAGAATCCTGCTAAAGGCCTCGAATTTCAAACAGGCAAGCTTATGTGTGACTTGATAACCAGTGTGTAGAATTTTCAAAATCCGTTTTCTCAGTTTTAGGGCAGTGTATGATTGTAATAATTCAGTTTATGAAATGTCAAGCGCAAATGTTTTTACAGTGATAAAACCAAAAGACCAACCTGTCTGAAACAACGAACCTGATTAATGTTTCATTAAAAACCTTTATAACCTATTTTGATGTTTTAAAAATAATATAATATCAGTTTACTCCCTATTTTCACGAGCTGTTTGTGATGTGATTTTAAACATATCCAAGAAAGTTTTCACTCATTTCATCAGTATTCTGGTTGCTTTCTTAGAAAACAGTTTATTTGATAATACTAGAAGTATTAATGTCACTTTCATATATTAATTATCACAACACAGTGACTGAAATTCACTGCTTCCTGAGCAGCGAGAACAGTGACTGAAATTCACTGCTTCTTGAACAGCGAGAACGGTGACTGTGATTCACTGCTTCCTGAGCAGCAAGAACAGTGACTGAGATTCACTGCTTCCTGAGCAGCAAGAACAGTGACTGTGATTAACTGCTTCCTGAGCAGCGAGAACAGTGACTGTGATTCACTGCTTCTTGAACAGCGAGAACGGTGACTGTGATTAACTGCTTCCTGAGCAGCGAGAACAGTGACTGTGATTCACTGCTTCTTGAACAGCGAGAACGGTGACTGTGATTAACTGCTTCCTGAGCAGTGAGAACAGTGACTGTGATTCACTGCTTCCTGAGCAGCAAGAACAGTGACTGAGATTCAGTGCTTCCTGATCAGCGAGAACAGTGACTGAGATTCACTGCTTCCTGAGCAGCGAGAACAGTGACTGTGATTCACTGCTTCCTGAGCAGCAAGAACAGTGACTGAGATTCACTGCTTCCTGAGCAGCAAGAACAGTGACTGTGATTAACTGCTTCCTGAACAGCGAGAACAGTGACTGTGATTCACTGCTTCCTGAGCAGCGAGAACAGTGACTGAGATTCACTGCTTCCTGAGCAGCAAGAACAGTGACTGTGATTCACTGCTTCCTAACAAGCAAGAACAGTGATTGAGATTCACTGCTTCCTGAGCAGCGAGAACAGTGACTGAGATTCACTGGTTCCTGAGCAGCAACAACAGTGACTGTGGATGTAAAATTACTGAAGTACTTGAAGATAGAAACGAGATGATAGCGATGAATTACAAAACAAAAGTTTAAAGCAAGTTTGTTTATTGTTAAGAACAAAGCTGTACAATGGGCTGTCGGTGCTGCTCCCACTACAAGTATTCAAACTCGATTTTTAGCATTATAAACCAACAGGTATGTATGAAGTAATTATTATATTAAAATGTGAGGTGTTTGGTGTTTCCAGTAAAGTTTAGTAGCCGTTGTAATTCCTGTAATGTAACTCAATACTCTGGCGTTGGTTACCTGTGTTTTCGGTTGTTATAAAAACGTCAGTAACTTCAATTTGTGTGTTTGATTGTTATTACGTATTGTGTTCTGTAGTGTGTCCAGTACTGTAGTTAAGGCAAGAGCCGTATTGTAGTCTGTAGTGTGTCCACTACTGTAGCTAAGGCAAGAGACCTATTGTATTCTGTCCACTACTGTAGCTGAGGCAAGAGGCGTATTGTATTCTGTAGTGTGTTCACTACTGTAGCTAAGGCAAGAGACGTATTGTATTCTGTAGTGTGTTCACTACTGTAGCAAAGGCAACAGACGCATTGTATTCTTTAGTGTGTCCACTACTGTAGCTGAGGCAAGAGGCGCATTTTATTCTGTAGTGTGTTTACTACTGTAGCTAAGGCAAGAGACGTATTGTTGTCTGTCCACTACTGTAGCTGAGGCAAGAGGCGTATTGTATTCTGTAGTGTGTTCACCACTGTAGCTAAGGCAAGAGACGCATTGTATTCTGTAGTCTGTCCACTACTGTAGCTGAAACAAGAGGCACATTTTATTTTGTAGTGTGTTTACTACTGTAGCTAAGGCAAGAGACGTACTGTATTCTGTCCACTACTGTAGCTAAGGCAAGAGACCTATTGTATTCTGTCCACTACTGTAGCTGAGGCAAGAGGCGTATAATATTCTGTAGTGTGTTCACTACTGTAGCTAAGGCAAGAGGCGTATTGTATTCTGTAGTGTTGTCTGTAGTGTGTCCACTACTATAGCTGAAGCAAGAGACGTATTGTGGGTCTATCCACTATTGAAGCTGAAGTGTATTCTACTCTGTAGTTTGTTCACTACTGTAGTCGAGGCGTATTGTACTGTGTCCACCACTGTAGCTGAATAGTACTGTATTATGTAGTGAGTCCACTAACGTAGCTGAGGCGTATTGTACTCCATTGTGTTTGTCTGGAACTTACTTTTTAATAGTATATATTAAAGTAAGTATATGGGTGTGTTGTGCTAAGGATTCTTCTACAGTAAGTGTCTGTGGTTTGTTGGTCATAAATTAAAAAAAATATAAAAGAACATCACGACTCCACTTGTTTTCCAAATAATATATATATTTGGAACAAGCTAAAAAGTATGTACAAAAATTCCCTACACTATGGAGGTCATATTTATATCTTAAACACGATGTAGTTCTCTTCTTGTTGTCAAACGTCCACTTAGAAGTATTCAATTGCTTTAGAATTCAGTTGACAAGCCGGACTATTTTTTTTTTATATCTATCGCCTGACTATCCGTGTATATTTCACTTACTTTGTCGTTGAGTTACCGCGGTTGTAACCTATACTTCAAAAATCGTCTGCCTTTGTCAAAATCCACTCAGGCTGGTTGAATTACCTTAGTAAATCCACTCAGGCTGGTTGAATTACCTTAGTAAATCCACTCAGGCTGGTTGAATTACCTTAGAACACCCTTTGACGAGACAACTTATTATTCTCATCTCTTATGAAATTTTTAATTTCACTCTAACATATCAACGGTTAGGCCTTTCACTCCCACTACGATTACTTTTCTCTGACTGAACTTCTCCTTCCCGTGACTTTACTCTCTTGTACTCTTTTTTTTTTGCTTGCCACTATTTATACGCCTATTAATTGGGTCTTGTAGAAATCTCTATATCTTCGACATCAATGGATTGCACGCGACGTTCGATAGCCTCGACATCAATAAGTTATAAATGCAACGTATGATTCTTAACGAGTTACGTAACCAAACATGTCATAACTATCGCCTTTAGAATAATTGCTTTTAACTCTATTGTTATGAAAAAACTAAACAATCATGAAATATTCACTCACAAAATAAATAAATTAATAAACAATCTTTTATATCTTACAGTGTTCACTACTCTAGCTGAGGCGTACTGTACTTTTTAGTGTCCACTACAGTAGCTTACTTGTTGTTAACTTCCTTCGAAACGAGTACAGAATAATCACTTTTTCTTTTACAAGATAGGCAAGAACTAAACCGGTTATTATTATATCGAAGCATAATAAATATTTTATCACATAGTACCTTTTCTTTTATATACACAAATGTGTTGAATACGGGAATATTCTTTTTATGGTTTCTTATTTTCTTTAAAAAAATATTGAGACTGGTTGCTCTCTAATCTGCATGCTCGCTTGTGTTTGAAGCCATCTGGTGGTTGTCTAGGACAAGAAACTTCATATACTACGTTCAATGAATTGAATAGCGATATTTCTTTTCTTTTTTTCCATGTAAGAGAAACGTTTCCATTCTGGTCTCAATATAACCCTCAAGGCTATATGGGGATAAGATAAACGTTAGCCTGCAACTTTCTCGTTCTAAACCTATTTACCTGCGTAGAGTAACACATTATAGTTAGCGACAGTTTGGGAATCTAACATTCAACTGTTTTTACGATTTATCTAATTCAATCTTTTCTTCCTTATTTGGTATCAAAATGTCTCAAAATGCAAACTTATGTTCTCCAGTTTATTTTATGTGGAATACTGTTAAGATACTTTCGAAAATTTGTCTACTTGGTTTGATTCATTAAAAACATCAAAGTGTCATCTGCATCCTTAAGTCAGTAGACGGAATTAAATAGCTCCGGCCATAATTTTAGACACTTAACTTTCATGAAAGAAAAAGGAAATGACTGTCTACTGACGACGACAATGTAGGTTCATAACTATTCATCTATTTTATCGTACGTTTTATTAAAACCTAAAATCTCCCTCCTTTGTAAAAATCACCGCAAGAACGAATTGTGTGTGATTTACGTATAAAGTCTTCCAAATTATGAAGCTGAGACCCAATTCAATGAATTGAATTTAGCCTGAATATTTCTACTGTATCTTTAAATTATAATGATGTTTAGTTGACGGTTCAATAATGTTAATAAGCTCTTTATGAAGCAACAATAAAGCAGGTATATTTCATATTACACTTATCCGGCTCCAGTCACTTATTACTTTCAACTTGTTTTCTTTAATGCTTTTATTCTATTGTGATTACAACAATTTTACACATTACTGAGCTACTTCTAACTGTTACGTGTTTTATGTACGAATTCTACGAGATACAAAAATAAATTCACACAGTACTTCTACAGTCTGAACTATCTTTTATTGAAATGTCTTATTTAAGAATACGAAACAAACCCTTTAATATTGTAAACCTCAGAAGAAGCTACCTACATTTGGTAAGAATATTCACCGACTTCTGGTTATCAAGTGTATATCAAAGTTAACTAATGACATCCGGGAAGTTATTCTTCGTGAGATATTAAAAATCCTTGTACGAAGGAACATTGAAAACCTACGTCTACTTCCTACTATACACAAGCTTAATAAAATATTATAGTATTTAACAAATTATTGATGTTTACCATATGAAGTTATAATGTAAATTACTCTCTTATAAATTAAGTTGTAATAGAGCAAGTGTAATGACAAACCAGGCACGTGAGTCTATGTTAATATTAACCCAAACCCTCTTAGTCTAGGCTACGTTACTGCTAACCTTAACCCTATCACGTTAACCTATGCTACTGTTAACCCTAACCCTCCTAGTCTAGTGTATGTTACTGCTAATCCTAACCCTATCAGGTGTTTCTATATTACTGTTAACTTTTAGTTAAAAACTCAATATTACTGTTAATCCTAACCTTGCTTTTACTGTAATTATACAACGAACTGACAGTAGTTGTTTTGATGTTTTCCACTACTTGTCCAGATAAACTATTCGATAAATAATACGTATATACATTCAGAAAAAAAGCAAACAATAAGGTTAGAGAGAACGTTTTCCTAATCTCTTCTTTATTTTTCCATTTATTTCTATATCAAGCTAAGGAATAAAAAACTTCGGCGCATAACTGTAACTTTTGATTATCCACTAACGAAAGTAGGACCTTACAAAAAATGCTGTAACTTTGGTCCTACCATTGACGAAAGTTAAGTCCTTCGAAACAAAATTGTAATTTTGGTTCCATCACTAACGAAAGTAGGACCTTCCAAACACGGTTATAACTTTGGTTCTACCCCTGAAGAAAGTAAGACCTTTGTAGCTTTGGTTCTACCACTGAAGAAAGTAGGACCTTCCAAACACGGTTATAACTTTGGTTCTACCACTGAAGAAAGTAGGACCTTCCAACAAGGCTATAACTTTGGTTCCACCTTTAACGAAAGTAGGACCTTTGAAACAATGGCTATAACTTTGGTTCCACCTCTGACGAAAGTAGGATCTTCCAACAAGGCTATAACTTTGGTTCCACCTCTGACGAAAGTAGGACCTTCCAACAAGGCTATAACTTTGGTTCCACCTCTGACGAAAGTAGGACCTTCCAACAAGGCTATAACTTTGGTTCCACCTCTGATGAAAGTAGGACCTTCCAACAAGGCTATAACTTTGGTTCAAATGACGAAATTAGGTCCTTCAAATAAGTAATCACTCTAGCTTAGGTTAACCTTTAAACGTTAGGGTTAAAATAACCACTTTTAAAGGGTGAAATAGTGACCCAGTGCTAAGTTAAGATTAATTCTGTAATCACTTGTGCATTATTATGCTGATGTGTTATTAGTTTTAAGACAAGCTAGAATATGCCCCTTTTCTATCAAACCTGTGACTAATTAGCAGCATTCTTTATACGTTGCTAATCGACTCACCCCACTTGTGATTACTATATGAACTATTACCCTAGAGACGATTTGTCTTGAGTTTTAGTAAGTACTGGGTCTCGTAACCACGGCAACGACTGACTAAAACCGACGTTGGTAGATGGACCTTCTTGGTTCGGTAACGCCCCCTTGAAGAGCCGCTTACAATCATTCTGCGCGTTTAAATTGATGTCTTGGGTCTGACAACATTCCTGGGTGGGGTCATCCCGTCACTCGATCCTATTATGTGACCAATGACAGGTGTGGCTGGTTTATAACACTGGGCAACAACCCGTGTTTATTAAGCGTTTATTTTACAAATACAACACGAAACATTGTCTTTTTCTGGGTTATCATTTATCTATATACTGTTCTGGGGTCTGATTTCTATACAATTCTGTTGTGAGCCACTCCTGAGATGGGTGGATGTGCGGTGACCTGTAAAGAAGTCAATAAAACAGCAAGTCGTTACATAGAACAAGGACCGACAAACAAGTTTATTTTATTTGAGCACAAAGCTAAACAATGGGCTATCCTTGCTTTGCCAACTACGGGTATCGAAACCCGATTTTTAGCGTTTTAAACCTGCAAACTTACTGCTGAGCCACTTGGAGGCAACGAACAATTTACGTATAGCGAACGTTACATTTACATGTAAAAAAGTGACAGTTTTCAAAACGAAAAAACAAACAAACAAAACAAGTGTTTAAGCAGAATTTAATAAAAAAAAATAACTTGAAGTGTTGAGTATGACTTACAGAAAGGTACTGGTAAAGACCGAATAATTAGTTTTCTGATTTGTCAGTTCTTCTGAATAATGAAAAGGTTAAATCAACAAAATAATAACAGCATGTGGTGTTAAAAACACTAACCCGTAATACAGATGTGTTGCAACATAAATAAAATTGATGAATAATTACACTTCATCAATTTAATCCAGTTCATACCAAAACTGTAGTTGTCATAAAATTTGCAAATATAAATAGTTTCCTAACACTACTATGTTTGTCGTATCCGAGCGGGCCTAAGGAGCATTGGTATTGTGCGAAAGGCTTCATGGACACTGGATATAACAGATATAGTGTAGCTGACGTATTATTATTATACACTTTTCTGTATTTGCACTCAGAATTTCTTATGAAAAACTATGCATCATGACAAGATAACTTCGGATAATCAATTTGTATTACTTTGTGGACTTGCAATGCTAAACTCCTGGGTTCGATTCCCACGGGAATGAAGCGCATTCAACCAGATTTTGAAAACATTAAAAACCAAAACAAATGACACCACCAGAAATGTTCACTTTCCAAAGCTAACGTTAGTAAGATATCCGCTTCATAAGTGATGTATATATTACTTACCACGTTTACGGTCTTTTATTTCCTGAACGGAGCAAGTATGACGGTAGGGTTCTACATTTTTCTATATAAGTCGCTAGGTGGGGCGGCTGTAGTAAAGGAGACTCCGTCGTTTCGCCCCCACAGTTGGGTTGGGTAATAAGATGGCATACCAGTTGACGAATTTCTGCTTGTCCCATCTGATTTACATCGATATTAATACCTGAAACATTGACAGCTTAGTCAATCGGCAGTAATAAACATTACGTTATATATATATATATATAAGCACGGATAATGAGGCTTACTTGCTAAGATGGTAAAATTCTAGTCATATAGATTACAGACGACTGTACAGCGCCACCTATTATTCACTTCACTCATTATATTGGACCACAGAACTTACTACTTTCGAGCAGATGCCACGTTATGTGAATAACGGCTGAGGTAATATTAAACTAATGCTATTAGCAAAAAAACAAAAAAAAACGAATTTTATTCGATAAACTATACTAAATAACGATCCCGCTCTTCAATGAAGACATACTGTTTTTTATCTGTGGTACAACTTACATACTGTCTTTCATTTGTACATAACGAGAATTAAGGGACTTTCAGTGGTTATAAAATGTTCAAGTAAGCATGAAACAACAAATACAGGTTGTCAACCAGTTTCACCTAGGTAGAAGATACATCTGAAATAAACGTTGAGCAGGAATAATAGACTCTTGACTATCGTGACAGATGGTAACCCACGAGGGGAGAAAACGTCTCCTTTTAGCCACATTACAACTCAGACTTGTATAAACTCTTCATTCACTCAGAGCTGCCACCGCCAGCGAAGCCACTTCACTCAGCTGTTTACACCGAATGCTTGGCGGACTATATGGAAATACATCTTTATGATGTGTTGGAACTCACGTCTGGAACAGATGGAACTGCTTCTTCTCTTAAATGTGAAACAGATGGACGACTTGACTAAGTATTTAGTGACATATTTTAACTATTATACATTTGAATAGTCTCCGCTCTGAAAGAGAAATCTTTATAGTGTTAATTTACTGCAAACATGCAGTAAACGTTATCCCGCTAGTTCCTTCTCCGTTTCTGTTCTTAGCAAAATTATTTTTTGTACTTTATACATATGAAACTGATAGGCCCCACAACTCAAAAGCTAATCCAATCTACGTTTACAAAATTATTTACGATCGCTAATCAAAAGTAACAGAGCTAAACATTTAATCTTTAAGTTAACGAAACCAATTTTCTAAAAAAATAACAAATACACAATTCCATAAGTTAATACATAATAAAACTAAAACTTATAGTAATTAAATGCACTAAATCATCAGTTGAGCATCCACTCTACGAAAAATAATTTCGGCCATAAACCTAATAGTATCTCACAATGTTCGGCCAGCCTAGGACAGTACCTTAGCCCTAAATATAAATATTAAGCTAACCATAAACGGTAATATTCAAAACCGTAATATCGATAAAAAAATAATATTAATGAAAGTACTTTAAACAATATAACCAATAATAGTAATGAAGCTCTTTTAGAGCAAAAGAAAGTACGACATTACTACTTCAACTTTTGTTTTATATTTCTGTATTATTCTATACAATCTACATTTTGAAATAAATAGTAAAATTAACTTTAACACCCAGTCTGCGAGTCAGGGACACATGTTTGATGGGTTAATTCCCAAACAAAGCTCTCCAATACTTCCCCTCCCGTTTTTTGTTTTGTTTTTATCCTGAAGAGAAGTTTGAATTCCTTGCTATATCTGGATTGTGAATTGCCCACCAGAGTGGCAGAATTCGCACTAATTTTCAGACTGTGAAGGAGTATATATAATCCATACCCCATCCAAAATCCCACATAAAACACGGTAGTGGTCGCACATATTGCGCAATAACAGATCTGGTTCCTCAGCTCTATAAAACCGTTTTCCCTACGGTTTTCGCGAGCTCTGTCGATAGATATTGTTATCTATTTTGATACGACTGAGTTTCATAGATTCTTTTTGTGATATTGTATACATCACCGATGTATTCAAAAGCAGTACTGGGACATTTTCTGTCATCATTATCTTTGTTGTGATGATGTCTACTCGTAATACTCGTCATGTCAGTTACAGGAGCTAGTCTGTGTGTGAAGGATGAGACAGTAGCAGTAGTTGTAACAAAGCTGCAGCAGTAGCACCATAGCAACATCACCAGCACGTTATATGATGGAATATAGACCAATCAATGTTTTTAATCTCTGTTTCAGACCAATCAGGCTCTAATATTCATAAGCGCTTTTTATTTTACCAATCAATGTGGCCATCATGAACACATCTACTTTTTGCAAGAACACAATCCGACAATACTCCTTAACTACACATCTTTCTGGTTGAACACTAGTGAGAGGCGAATTCTTTTGGCAGTAAAGTGTGGTTCTGAGGTTAACAGATCGAGCTCTTTATCGGAGTACATTTTTGTTGTTTTAGTCTGAACACCGGAAACCCCTCTGTAGCCAACTATTTCCCCCAAATACGATTTCATTTTCCCTCGCAGCCTGGATGTTTAAAAAACAGTAAGGATATTGACTTCAAATAGTGTATATGAATATCAGTTAATGCAAGAGGTGCTTGAAATGTCTGGCCCATACTTACTCCCTTTTTTTTTTGTTAGTTTTTAAATCTTAAAATAACATCCTTGCTGCACGTTTTAGCTTAAACTCATTACCTTAGGCCTTGCTAACGATGAAAATTTATGTAGCTTCACACATCACTGCATAGGCCTAATTTTAGAACGAAATTAGTGTTATCAATATGGTTAAAAGTTAAATGCCAACGTTAAACTTTCCGATTTCAACATAAAAAAGTGTTACACAGTAGAATTAGTTACCCCACAAAGTAGAAATTATACAGGGTACCACAATATTGTGTACTGAAACTAAATCCAAGCTTTCGGCTATTAAATGAAACAGAGACTCAACAATTCTGAGTTGGATACGCTTTTAATAAAAGCGATAGATGATTTCGGAGCATGCGCAGTTTGCATCACGAAATCAATATTCTCCAAAATTGATTAAAAAAACACACCAGTCTACGAACTTCTATACACACACACACACAGAGATACACGATCAATATATTGATTTTCGTGTTGCTTAAGAAAGGCTCCGTGTTTTTCAAAACACTTACCGCATCCATTTCAACAATTTTATCCTTTTTTTATTCATTAAAGAGATTTATAGTTCGGGCTTACGTTATAAATAAGTTTTATATCCTGATTTAATTCTTTTTGGCTGCGTGTTATAATAAAGTATAACATTTTATTTATACAAAAATGTCGGTTTGTAGCGGCATACCAGTCCATTGGGCAATGTATACACAATCTGAACAAAATGTAGGAAGAACGAGCAGGAGTATTAACAATTACTACACATCTGTGCACCCTTACTGTTACAATGGCTCCTAATCTTCCTCGACAACATAATAGTAACCTTGTCCTTGTACTGATTTAGTTTGTATTTAAAGGGTTAAGATTGTAGTAACCTTGTCCTTGTACTGATTTAGTTTGTATTTAAAGGGTTAAGATCTGACGGTCCTTTTCTAACGTTCCTCGACAAGATTGTAGTAACCTTGTCCTTGTACTGATTTAGTTTGTATTTAAAGGGTTAAGATCTGACGGTCCTTTTCTAACGTTCCTCGACAAGATTGTAGTAACCTTGTCCTTGTACTGTTTTAGTTTGTATTTAAAGGGTTAAGCTTTGACAGTCTGTTCCTAACGGGCCCGGCATGGCCAGGTGGTTAGGGCGCTTGACTCGCGGTCTGTGGGTCGCGGGTTCGAATCCCCGTCCCACCAAATATGCTCGCCTTTTCAGCAATGGGAGCGTTATAATGAGACAGTCAATCCCACTATTCGTTGGTAAAAAAAGTAGCCCAAGAGTTGGTGGTGGGTGGTGATGACTAGCTGCCTTTCCTCTAGTCTTACACTGTTAAATTAGGGACGGCTAGCGCAGATAGCCCTCGTGTAGCTTTGCGCTAAATCCATAACAAACAAACAAACATTGCCCCCCAGTGGCACAGCGGTATGTCTGTGGACTTACAACGCTAGAAATCGAGTTTCGATACCCGTGGTGGGCAGAGCACAGATAGCCCATTGTGTAGCTTTGTGCTTAACTTCAAACAAACAAACAACTTTGACCGGGCGTGATCTCACGGTTAGCATGCCGAGGGTCCACAGTTTCGCGTCCCGTTGCCAGAAAAAATCACGCTCCGCATTTTGAGTCCTTGGTTGCGAATAAGAGTGACTATCAAATCCCATTAGTAGGGTATCCACAGATACTATCTCCATTTTCTTTAGTCGTTCTGATAAAGATAGGTAGTTCTTGTGGAGCTTTACACGAAATTCAAGGGACAAAACTCTTACCACGTGATAACGACAACCGGCTTTATTAAACAAAAACATAAATCATTTCTCTATAGTGCTCATAGCAAGAACTTTAGCAATTTGTGAAAGATTTGCATTGGTTTGGGAGCATAAGAGATGGAAGTGTGCACCAAAGAAGAAAATGGTACTCCAAAGGCAATTCACAGAAAACGTATTTCTTTAGAGCCGTGGGAGTATACCGTCCATAACTATGCGGCGACTTCGACTCAATTAGTTCAAGTTGAGATCCTGCCATTGATCCATTCTTTCTGTCTTTCTTTTTTTTTAGCCGATTTTTTATGTTATTGGTATTGCTGGAGACGCTGGACAAAATGACTATACGTGTTTTGACGGGGGAAGAGGAGGGGGAAGGAAGGAGTGGAATGCAGCAGCTCAGAAACAGAAAACAAAACGAAAAACTTTTGAATGGAAGATGAAGCAGTTGCATACGTTCCCACGGTCTGAGAAGGTGAACAAGCCACCTGGTCCCTCTCTCTCTCTCACCGTTCTATTGTCTATAGTTTCTCAGGTTGAAAAAAAAAAAAGTTATGATGATGACTAACTTGAAGTAGGTGGCGTTGACCATATACAGACAGACGGGTTTTGTGTGAGTAAAAATGATTGGTGTGGATAGTAAATACCAGTGCTACTGCGAGAAGAAAAAAAAATCTCACTTGCCAGTCTATGCGTTTGAAAGGGCTTCTATCAAACGCTAACCTCAAGCAATTTCAAATGTATTCTTTACTGACATGTACGTGTCACGGAATACGGGTTGAATGTTCTTCTGAATTTCACACACACACACACACACAAATCTTCATAAATTAAATATATATTTGGTCAGAAAAATTAAAGTATCTTTATTTATTTTACATTTTAATGTACGTTTTGAATGGATGAATCTCTTTAATTCCTTTATTCAAATACCTACTGTCAAAAATATTAATTCGTTATAAAGAGGTGAGAAAAATTGTACTTAGAATATTTACAGATACGTAATTTTAAAGGTTTCTTCGTTTTTTATCTTGTAAATTTGTTTGTTTGTAGTTAAGCACAAAGCTACACAATGGGCTATCTACGCTCTACCCACCACGGGTATCGAAACCTGGTTTCTAGCGTTGTAAGTCCACAGACATACCGCTGTGCCACTGGAGGGCGTTATCTTGTAAAAGGTTTAGAAGCGAAATAAAGCTTACTTTTATTATTAACATTTGATATTATGCAAAGCTAGTTAGTAGCATCCTACCTTCCACCCATGCTAAGGGATTAACTGTCCCTCTTATAACGCATCTACAGCTTATAAGGGTCGCACGGATTCGAAGCTTGCCAGCTCCGAAATCCAGAGCTCTACCAAATGGCCAACCCTGTACTGGATAATAATCACAGCTTCCTGAAAGCGCCATCTATTGACGAAAACCATTAAATTTAACCATATATCATGAAAGCGCCATCTACTGACTAAAATATCTTTATAGATAAGGATTAAATATATCGAAGTAATATTAAATATGTTATATCCTTCAGAATATATAATTTAAATAACTAGGAAAGCTATATCATTAACTTTTGACCAACATAGCAGTTTCTCTTTTTATAAAACTAACATATCGCATCTATAAAATATACATGCAAATCTGTTAATCTAGTTACAGCTAAATACATTTTATATCTTTTGTTCAAAGTTGTTACGGCCACAAGTTTGTTTGTTTTCTTTTTGATAGCTATGGATCTTTAAATTTGGCAGAAGCAATTAGACTACTGCAGCTAATAATCACAGTTCACGATTTACACTAGGGGTAGTATGAACCAAAAAATTCTGTACTATAATAGCTGTGATATTTTATATAATTAAGTTTTCATTAACACTGAAGAAAATGCACAATTACTTAAAACGACAAATACTGGCTTCTTATTCTTGTTGTGCACAAACAATTCTCTCAACAGGAGTTAGGGCGTCAAAACGTTTTTTGTTGAATTTTGCTCAGTTTCCCGAGGGTTATTATTCTGCGGCAACTGTCCCTAATTTTGATTGGGGGGGGGGGCAGCTAATTAACACCACGCAACGCCAACTCATGGAATACTTCAATCGAATAATGGGATTTGGCCGTCACTCCTATAACGCACCACGGCCCAATAGTACGACTTTTATTTATTTATTTTTTCTGAAAGTAATGGGACCCGAACCACGGAACCTTAGATAAACAGTTCGGCACCGGGGCCTAAACGCGATACTCACGCATATGGTGCACCCCCTATTTTATTGTTTGTAAACTATTAAGGCGGTGCACGGGCAGACTGACAACCCTTACGCCAGAATGCATTACTGTCTAAACCAATGAACACACTAAAGAGATGGATGATGAAAAGCTGAAAAAAGGGCCTTTTTCAAAGAGCCACTCGATAGCTATCAGTGTATCACCCATGTCCGTATCTGCCTCATTAGTTACCTCGTCAATTTCAGCACGTGCAACGTCACAATATCGCAGACAAGATAAGATAGGAGGGTGATAAGGTACTGCTGCGCATACAACTTAACAATACTCAACATAAAAGGCTCCTGTTTAAACGAAAAAGATATTGTTTGTTTTAGAGAAAATACACATTTGGCTATCTGTTGTGTCCACCGCGAATAATCGAACTTTAGATTTTAGCGTTGTAAGTTCGTAAACTTAGCGCTGTCCCATCGGAGTACTATACGATTGATTGGCTAGCAATCTCGATGATGTAAATTGAAAATAGCGTTTACTTACGACAAACTAGCCTTCAGTTCCTATTACTTTGGTTTGCCTTGGAAGCTTGTGCACAAGATACAACTTCTACATGTCATTAAAACATCAACAATGTTCTCTTTAACATCAACAAAGTTCTATTCAACGACCAATCCGTATTTGTGGCAGCTTGGAAAGACCACAAATACCCACCATTTTAATTTATCCCCGATATTTCTTGGCTATCCATCTATCAACATATCTGCCCATTGTTTTTCTACTTCCCTATTTCTTTCTATTTGTATATACATTTTTTTTAGTTGTACATACACCAGCCCCCCCAATAACTCAGTGGGAAGTCTCTGGACTTATGACATTAAAAATCGAATTTTGATATCCGTGATGGGCACAACACAAATAACCTATTGTGTAGCTTTGTGCTTAAATGCAAACACCAGCACTGCTTAATTACTTATCCAATCGCTTGTAGGTGTCTATACGATACTTCTGTTTAGTCTTACGTTTGTTCGCCTTTTTCGAGCTGCTTCTCTTCCTATTTATACAGATTACTATTTTTTTCACAACTCAAGTGATTGATGTGCCTTACCCTGGAAACAATGTGGGATTCCTCGGGTTTTTAACCTCGACAACAGGGTGCTGTGGAGGTGATCAATATACCGTACGGCTTCTTCGATTACCGTGAGCTAGAATTAAAAAAAAGGCGAGACTATGATCAATTTCAATATCCATAACAACATTATACGAACGTAATACTTTTTAAATCTTCCAAAAGATCGCGCTCTTCTACATTGACATTTTCAATTTTTAGAATAAGTTTTGTAACATCGTTTAAGAAAATCATTTGATATAATTACAACAATTTTAAAGAAGTCTCATTGTTTGAATTCTTCTACAGCCAAGTGCGAAACAGACTGTACAAGTCTTCAACTTTCTGTTTTTTTGTGTGTTTTTTTTTCATTTCAAGCAGTTATTAAAGTTTGACACTAACCTACTTGGAAGTTCTGGGAAATATTATCTGATACTTTAAAGTTCAGTGAAGTATAGAAAATTAGCTTTAATTGTGATTTTTTTTAACACATATGAATTTTATATTCCAATTGTATAGAAGGTGCATTATACACGAGATAATTGGTTTCAGTTAATTCTTGCACTTGAGCTACAATAAGTATTTTTACACAAAAACTCGAAACTGTCGAGGCAAAATAAGAAGAGTGTGTACCAAAATGTACAAGTTACCTTTGACACATTAGGGTTATCCGCAATGGCAGGAACCATAGATTTCAAACGTTTGTAATCATGACTACGAAATGCCTTTATTCTGCTGTTCTTCTCTTTCTTGGACACTTCTAACCGTTCTCTTCGAGACTCAGTGACCAGTCTTGTACTCATTTTCTGAGAAGTTGATGGCGTCAACCTGGTCCACGGATAGACTGTTCTAGAGTTCACTCCATACCTAGTTTTCCCTGTCATTTCAAGTGACCGCTGGAGGGGATATATATATATAATGTGAGAAAGTTGTCATTGTGATCTCAGTTCTAACATTAAAAAATACAACTATCTTTACGTCCCTACTTTGAGTTCTACCATTTAGTAAGGCTAAAAATGGTCACTGTTAATACAAAAATAATAATAATTATACCTCGATAGATACTTATTACAGTTAACAAACTATAAAACTTCTCTGAAAGTCATATTAATAGTTTCAATAAACTATTCCAAGCAGGTTCCTTATTTATTTAAAAGTTACATGTAGTGATGTACAGATGTTAACATAAAGGGTAATATAATTCAGTAATAATTTATTTAATATAACTGCACGTGAACTATACTACTTGTTTCTATCATTCTTTATCGTTTATTTAAAACGAGCTTTGTAAACCCCTGTAGGTCACTGTTCTTTTAATCATAACAAGACACGCTGACATGTAAATCGAACCTCGTTCTAATAGTAATAGACAAGCTTAATTAAAGACGTACAAAAGAGTACTTAACTTATGAAGTTACGTGCTTTTGTAAGAACCTACTTCTAATTAAATGTTGGTGAACAATGGTGCTTTATATCAAATTTTGTCAAATTGTAGAATTCAATCTAGCCTCTAGGGTAAACAAGTCGATTATTCATTTGTTGTGATAGAAAGAACAGTAGCCTACAGGGATTTACAAAGCTCGTTTTAATTAAACGATAAAGAATGATGGAAACAAGTATGGTTCACGTGCAATTATATTAAATAATAAATTGTTACTGAATTTTATTACCCTTTATGTTAACGCAAAGTTTATTAATTCTAATTTTACTCGAATGCTTTGTTTTTACTCACAGGAAGATTTATGGTTAAGTTAATAAATCTTGTTTGTAATTAACAAATGTTGCAGGTGGTAGAACTTACCAGTCTTCGCCCTGGTTCTTTACAGTAGTTTAGTCACGCCTTATGTTTTGACTTTTCAAAACAGTGGAGCCTGAGGCGATAGCATTTCGTTTATTATACAGCAGTTTTAACTGTACTATTGTTAATTTAGGCTTAGCTAACTATCTGCTTACCTAGACTAAAATGACGACTAATTTATTTCTGATTTCCTAAATAATTGTTGAACTATGGAGTGTTGTGTTAAGAAAAACTACACTGCATTCACTAAAGCTCTAACACTAGCACAAAGATTAAAAGCAGATGAACGCAGTTCTACTCCTCACCAGCAGAACATAAACTGACTTCCATATGTTTCTTCTGCCCCTCTTGACTGAATGTGGTAGGCTGGCGAATGACGTCATTTGATTGGGAACTAGCTTCTGCGAAGACTCTAGATCTTGACTATTTTTTTGCGTCTCACTAACACCATAAGCCATCTCATCACTTAAAGATCATTGGATTCAATTCCCATAGTTAGGAAACGTTTATATTGCAGATAAAAATATATTTTACGCACTTAGAACTACGGTCCTATTTTGTTGCCTATACTCAAGAGGCGGATTAATTCTGTTGTTAAGCTTGTAGTACCCAGCTGTATCACAGGTGTTTAGTGGCAGAGGAGGAACAGGCGGGAAACGCCAATCTAGGGGTAAATTGGCGGGAAGCGCAGCTTGCGAGGCGATCATGTGCAAGCCGTGGCGAGGATGCTCAACCTCCAAACTTGCGATGATAGACGTCGTGTTATTAAAGCCAAGCGCGACTGGTTGAACTATCAGGGAGGCTTGTTAGGCTTAACATATTGGCAACGTATGGCAACATTCCTTCCCGTGAGAAAAGTGTGTCCAGATGGTGCGTGTCAACACCATAAACCTAACATAAAAACTGCCGCAAGTCGGTACCCGATTAGTGTAATACTGAGTCCAAAATCTGTAGAATGTCCACCACATCAATTCAAACTTGTGAAAACTGTAATTCTTTACCATACAACAAACATATTTTATTCATTGTCGAAAAGAAAGTATAAATCCTGTTTTTGGTATGTAGTTTTTAAACCTTTGCAATCTTTCAAACAGGCTTATCTCCACAAAAAAATATACTTTATTAATGTCTAAAACAATTACCAAAGTAAAACATTGTTAATGGTGGGAACATAACAACACACCACACACATACAGCACCTGTTACCAGTGGTTACAGGTTACCTGTCGAGTGATCTGAGATGATCAGAACATCTGAGTACTATTAGAATCTTCGTCCCGATGAGTTGTATCGGCTAATTTCACATATTACCAAATAGTAGGTTTAACTTAAACATAACTTTCATGCTCGCTCCTTTAGAGGAGACTGAAGTTTAAAAAAATCAAAGCATATTAATTGTTTTAGTCTTAAAATACAGAGTTTGAACGTCACAGGTTTTTTGTAAACGTTTCATACCAAGTTGTACACAAGACTAGCAGAGACCCACAAAACATATGTGGCCAAATTAGTATCTTTATTGCAACAGTACTTCTTTAAATACAGGATTTCTAAAATAATACAAAATAATTTTAATTGCAGACACTGAAATCTATAAGTCCAATTGTAAGCCTTTATTAAGTACGGCCTATATTCGATAAAGAGATAAATTAACACTGTAACTTGTGTACGTTTTTTGCTTTAATTCATTTAGGGCTAAACCTTACCGCACGTAATACTATCAATAAATAATTTTCTAATATTATCCAACGACCTAACGTTAGACCCTTTTAAAAACTTTGATAAGCTTTTAATATGCTGTATAAAACGTCTACTAAAGTATATTTATGTCCTTTCTGGCGTAATTCGACGATTTAACAAAGATACGTTTCCGAATTGCGAAAAAGGTGAATTTTTTTGTACATCTTAGTCCTAATATATCTTTAATTTTCGATCAATTGTAGACTACTTGCTTCTAATTAACAAGAAGCCAAACTACTTAAATTACGCACTAAGTTGCTATGACATCAATGAGTGACCTAGAGAGAGAGACAGACAGACAGGTACACATTGTGTTTTATAGTATCTGATTTTAATCTGTGAAAAATGTGTTATAAAATTTTCTTTAACAGTTTTCTAAACTATTTATTCATGCTACTGCTTGTGGTTTCACTAATTTCTTTGTTACAGGGTGCATAATAACATGTACTTCCGCAAAAAGAAAAAAAAAACAAATTAAAAACTAAACAAAAATATTAAACACTAGCGGGACAACCCGTCCCCTAGACGGAAGTTACGTAAATTCATGATTAATGAAATGTTATCTCAGGACATATAAAGTTGCTTCCCTTATAAGTAATTGTAAAAAAAACGCAACAATACCCATAAAAACTGCAAAACACAAAGTGTGAAACCGCAGGTTTGTATATATCTCCTCATGGCTCAAACAAACCTTCATGCCAAATTTAGTGAAGATCCATTAATAGGGGACCAAGTTGTGGTAAAAAATACGTCCATAAAAACCGCAAAATGCAAAATTGAAAATTTGTATGTATCTCCCCATAGACCCAATGAACCTCCATACCAAATTTAGTGAAGATTCATCCACAGGAGGTGAGGTAGTGGTGAAAAAAAAACGCCCATAAAAACCGCAAAACTGAAAATTTGTATGTACCCCCACATGGACCTAATTAACATCCATACCAATTTGGGTGAAGTTCCATCCACACCCTGCGAAGTAGTTACATGGACATACAACAGACAGTACTATTATATTTATATAGATATTGCACTTAATCGCAATAATTGATGACATGTTTTATATCATACTGCTGATGATGTGTATCATGCTGTAGTGATGACATGTTTTATATCACACTGATGATGTGTATTATGCTGTAGTGATGACGTTTTATATCATACTGGTGATGTATTTTATATCATACTGATGATGTGTATCATGCTGTATTGATGATGTATTTTATATCATACTAAGGATATGTTTTATATCACACTGATGATGTGTTTCATGCTGTATTATGACGTGTTTTATATCATGCTCATGATGTATTTTTATGTTGTACTGATGTTTTATATCACACTGATGATGTGTTTCATGCTGTACTATGACGTGTTTTATATCATACTCATGATGTATTTTTATGCTGTACTGATGTTTTATATCACACTGATGATGTGTTTCATGCTGTACTATGACGTGTTTTATGTCATACTCATGATGTATTTTTATGTTGTACTGATGTTTTATATCACACTGATGATGTGTTTCATGCTGTACTATGACGTGTTTTATATCATACTCATGATGTATTTTTATGCTGTACTGATGACGATATATTTCATAATTGTATTGATGATGATCAGATTTAGGGCATATCTTGTAGTGGTTTTTGTTTCATCCTCTTTTTACTAAATCATATCTCAAAAAGCTACTTTTGATATAACCTTTTGAACACTAATATCGTTTAGTGAATTAACTTTGTAATTTGGATGAACTTTGACCAGTTGTTATCATGGCTAGCAGCAGAACTGTTATCTATGGATGAAACTGCACCAGTTATAATTCATGGACAAACACTTCATCTTCATTATGTGTGGACAAAGACTCTCTCCTTATAATACGGTAAAACATCACCTTCCTTCTTTTAATATTTGGAAAATGTATCTCTCTCTCTCTCCTCATAACCTGTGAGGGATCTCTCCTCATAACTTGTGAACAGCATCTGCTTCCTCATTATCCATGATAAAACAAAACAAACAAAAAACCCTCCCTTCTTTTAATCTGTGAACAACATCTCCCTGATTTTTACTCCGATAAAAACATCTCTCTCATTTTAATCTGTGGGCATATCTCTCCTCAAAATATGTGAACACCTTCCTCGTCATAACCTGTAAACAACATATGTAATAGCGTATTCCTTATTTCAATCTATGGGGAACATCTCTCTCTTATTCTTTGAACAACAAATATTTCTTTTTAACCTGGTAATAGAGTCTCCCTCTTTTCTAAATGTGGACAACATCTCTCTGCTTACAATCTATGGAGAACATCTGTCCTAGGGACTGAAATGTATCCTAATAAAATGAGTAGCTGAATCGCAAAATCAACTTGTAATTGTTTTCAGGGTAAATGCCCTGAATACTCCCCATTTCAACAGATGAGACTTGATAGAAAAGCATCTGTTTCTTAATATATTACGTGAGATTGTAAGATTATGGAGTGTTTGTTCTTATTGCCTTTTTGAAAACACTCCTTCACGTCTTCCTACACAACGGCTAGATAATTTGTTTCAATAGATCTTCTAGGTCTCAACAAACGTAGGAGAAACGGTGCTCTGCTTTCTGGTGCTGAATTGTTCCCATCATCATTATGCTCACCCCCGCCAGAGAAAAGTGTACTTTGCTTTAAGATGGTGTGACAACAAAGTTAACAAACATTACCACCAGGTGAAGAGTGCATAGGGATAACAGATCACAATGAATACGCCCATTACACATTTACAGAATGTTGTAAACCTTTCTACTAATTACACAAAAGCTCTGAAAAAATCACCGCAACGCTGAATTGCATAATTGTAGCTCGTATGAAGAAAGTTAATCAAAAGAATGAAACCATTGCACAAGTAATTGTTAATATAGTTCACATATAGCGAGTCAAGAACTCGCTATATGTGAACTATATTAACAGTTACTTGTGCTATAGTTTCATTCTCTTGACTCGCTATATGTGAACTATATTAACAGTTACTTGTGCTATAGTTTCATTCAATTCTCTTGACTCGCTATATGTGAACTATATTAACAGTTACTTGTGCTATAGTTTCATTCTCTTGACTCGCTATATGTGAACTATATTAACAGTTACTTGTGCTATAGTTTCATTCTCTTGACAAAGTCGATACACATAATCAAAAACATATATAGGCTATATTTCATGTTTTAAACTCGTGTTTCAGAACTGTATGTTATTTGTTATTTCTTAAACAAAACTAATTTTAAACAGCGAACAATTTGGTCGTTTCTTTAACACAACTAGTGTTGTGGCCGCTTCGTTTAATAGATACAATGGTCTGGTCGTCTCGTTAACACAGCTAAGGTTCTGACCGCTTCATTAATAGATCGAATGATCTGATCATCTTGGTAATACAGCTAATGTTCTGACCGTTTCTTTTAATAGAGTTAACGATCAGGTTATTTATTATCACAGCTAATGTTCTGGCCGCTTCGTTTAATAGAGCTAACGGTCTAGTCGTCTCGTTAACACAGCTAATGTTCTGGCCGCTTCGTTTAATAGAGGTAACGGTATAGTCGTCTTATTAACACAGCTAATGTTCTGGCCACTTCGTTTAATAGAGCTAACGGTCTAGTCGTCTT